TATATATATTTGTGTGCGTTTGTTTTTATATGTGATGAAAGTTTTAATGACAATCTGACAGGAAAGAAAACACATAGGTTATTTTCTAAAGTTTTTTTTCCTGTTTGGCCGATGAATCGGTGTAATTACAAATGATTATTTATTTCAATTTATTTCAACAATTTTAAATTGAAAATTACTGAATGACATAGTTACAGTAAAAGAAATCAAGCGGTCAAATGCGTAATATAAAACTGTTTTCTTTGACAAATATTGATTGGGTTTAAATGTTTAGTCGGCGTAACATGTCAAAATTGAATTTTTCTAAATTGTTTTAAATATTTAATATACATAATTTAAAATTTATCACTAATACACACACATATATATATATATATATATATATATATATATATATATATATATATATATATATATATATCAATGAAAAACAGACCACTTGAAGGTACCATTATAATAATTTATTTCACCAGAATCCTTTTAAAGGACGCCGGATCATCAGAAAGCACTTCCAAAACTATTAGCTCTGGATTTACATTGTGCTCTCAGGATTCCATCCTCCTTGGGATTACCCATACGGATTACCAAGTTCTTCATATATATATATATATATATATATATATATATATGTATATGAATTTTGAATAGATTATATCTGTAAAAGGACAATATGAATAAAGACAAAAGGCAAGTTTATCATACCCGACGTATTTCATCCTCTTATTGACTTTATCAAGGCAGATGAAATGATTTTTATTTTATTTTGTAACAAGTATCTATATAAGAGAGAAAAATTGTTTTTTCTTTCAAAATGTTTGAGTTGGAGAGAACATTCATAAACATTATTTGATTAGTCGAAAAGTCTAGCCAAGAAATGGAGGACGCTAAATAACACAATTCAACGTGTAATAAAGGAGAGTGATTGAATTTTTTTTTTTTTTTTTTGCAAATTAATATTAAAATTATTTTATTTTTTGATTAATTTATGTGTTATATCTTTTTAAATAACATGAGAATTAAACCGCATTATTTTCATTTTTTCATATATGTTGACTTGGGAAAGTAGTTATACTCTCATGTATTGAGATATTTCAAGAAATGCTGGGCACAGATTTATATTTTGATAAGATTCCATAATGGCACCGTCAAAAATCTTCCGTCTAAGTATGTTATTTTCTCTTTTAATAAGTGTGGTATTCTTTGGATCAAAGTTGTGTTTGAATCTATTTCTATGTATAACTAATGTATTTGATAAATTCTTTTCTATAAGATATATTTTTGTTCATATATACGCTTCTTCAAAAATTTCTGCAAGGCACTCCAAAGTATTCTCCCGATCATATTCTTCTTCTTCTTCTTCTTCTTCTTATTATTATTATTATTATTATTATTATTATTATTATTATTATTATTAATGATAATAATTCAAATGTTATTTTTAATGGACACTTCGAAATGTTCACTATAATAACGTTTGAAATAATAATGGATTAAAAATAAAATTACACTGAACTAAAATTTTCGCTTGAGGATGAAACAAGGCTTGATTTTTTAGATCACTTTAATAATTATATTGAGGTTTTCAGCTCTTGTTTTTGAAACATGAGAACTCTTATGTAGCGAAGGAATCATATTTTTAAAAATAAAAATATATATATATATATATATATATATATATATATATATATATATATATATATATATATGAAGACAGAGAGACAAAATATACTAAATTTAGAATTGTATGATGTTCACTATCTGAGAGGGAATGTTACGTTTTTATATAAACAGGTCAGACTAATTGGAAACTCGGATCCACATCATTATAAGTGATCGTTAACTCGTCATGTGATGATCGCTCAATTAATGAACAACACTATCAAATGCTATATCTATCTATCTATTTCAATATATATATATATATATATATATATATATATATATATATATATATATTGTTGGCCAATCGTATTCGACGATAGCTTATCCCTATTTCAGACGCCTATGCAGTCGTCCAGGCCTGACGATTCCGTTTAGAATGAAACAGACTGTCGCTCATGTGTGTTGTCTTCAATGTCCACTTTTATTTTTACATATGCAGTGTCTCTGATATTGAGCACTTTACCTCATAAATATATATATCATAAAACTATATTTTGCCAAATACATATATATATATATATTTCTGTTTGTCTCTAGTTTTTGTTTTTATATATATATATATATATATATATATATATATATATAAATATATATATATATATATGTTTGTCTCTATGTGTTTTTGTATATATATATATATATATATATATATATAAATATATATATATATATGTTTGTCTCTGTGTGTTTTGTATATATATATATATATATATATATATATATATATTTTTCTGTTTGTCTCTGAGTGTTTTTATATATATATATATATATATATATATATATATATGTGTGTTTACGCATACACAAGCACACATATACGTCTGTATTTGATTCGTGAACATTTCACAACCAATTTGTCAAGTAAATTGCCGCATAATGCCTGCGTCTTTTACATATTAGAATTTAAGTTTTAATCTCTGTCCTTTCCTCGCTGATAATTGGCCAAAATCATCAATCAAAGCTAGAAGAAAGGACAGGCTTTTAGACTTATATTCTGCACTTCACCACCTCTCTTAGAACATTGCCTTTTTATCACCGGCTCGTAAGAAATGACTAGTAATTTTAATCTTAGCGAAATTCCCGAAACAATACTGTTTGATGCCGAACCAAAACAATTTTTCTTCATGAATTCTTGTAGCTCACGTTCTCCAAAGATATATGCAGGTGCTGATATGTTTACTATTACTTTCTTTCATTGTTTATACTTGCTCTTGTTTCAGATGAATTTTTGTAAAACATGTAGTTTATATTTCCGTCAGGAACTTGGCGTGGAATTAAAGAACAGTTTAATACCTTGAAGGAAAGAGAATTTCGAACAATATACTGAAATGCTTTTTCTTGAGAGGCATACAGTTTACGATGGATAAATTGTCGTCTAATTTACGTAAAAATGAAAATAACACCGGCATTTCATTTTAACAGATATATTTACCATAATCACACAAAATATCTTGAATTTGTTTTTGTTTCTAACGAAATTTTTTAATGTTTCCCAATACTTTGCTTAGCTTCGGATTTCAGTGTCGCACTTTCCTTCCTCTATTCAAACACTTCCCATATATTTGAATTGATGTACTTGTTTGGCTATGGTATGTTATTTAATTCTTCGATCTAATGTTTTTGCTGCCATCGATGCTGCTGCTGCTGCGCCTTCTCCTCTTCCCCCACCTTCTCGTTCTTCTTCTTCTTCGTCTTCTTCTTCTTCTTCTTCTTCTTCTTCTTCTTCTTCTTCTTCTTCTTCTTCTTCTTCTATTGGCTGTGTTCCTTCAGTTCGCTGGCATATATAGCGCTTCACGGCAACATATCCCTTGTTTCTTTTAGCAGTGTTTCTCCTTTTGTGTACCCTCTCTTTTTGCCACCCGTTCACACAAGCTCGTGAGTTAAACAGCGTATTAAAAAGAACAGGAAAATTTCGTCAATTCATGAGTACCAAAATTCTATGGAAGTGAATGTTGAACAATTCTGAAGAGAAGAAGTGGCTTGAGACAACAGAAATATCGTTAATGGTAATAATAGCCGTTTACGTATGAGGTAATATCTGGCATTCATTCACCGAGATGCCACTAGTGCTATTGGTTGAAATTCATAGTCTTTCTCTTAAAACGATTAAATGCCGTCCACCATTATGTTTCCAAACTGACTCTTTTTGTATTGCGTATAAATTGTCATAAGGCTGACATTGATCGGTTGTATATGTCCAGATCCGGAGGAGGTAGAGGATAAGTTCAGCCAGAATTGTCATACAAATTCACAACAATCGGTCTTGAATAATACCTGGAAAATGTAGAAGTCTCGATGATGATATGCGTCAAAGAACGTGAAAGAAAGAGGAAACTGCATTCAGTTATAAAGGAATCCAACAATTTGTATGATAAAGAATGGTACCGAAAATAATGTAAGTAAAATTTCTGGACATATAGTCATCTCAGAATAACAAAAGTTTACTTTGAACTGAACTGCATATATAATCCGCAAAACTTACCTCCATCTAAACGAAACTTCCACAATGTGCATAGATAACTTTTCTACGGTACCGTTTTTACTTATAGACTCCTTAGGGAACATGACAATAGGGCGCTTAAAATTACTCTCTTTCAAGATGGTACCACACATAGTAATCGTAGTGGCAATGATGTTCAATTCTTGATGCTATTTTCGGCCTTAGATTCAAACAGAATTTGTAGAGAAAAATAACTATTAGAGCAAAAAAAGACAGGTAGATTTGGAGAGCCATGTTAAGGCTAATCCTAAAGAGAGTGAGAGAGAGCAATTATTAAATAGGCATGGCCAACCAAAAGATGCCTTCATTGAATTATCTATAATTCATTTTCTTGAGAGAAATATTTCCATTGTGTTCAATATTTTGAAAAGATATAAAGGTGGTGAAAATTCAGAGTAAAAACTTAACTTTAAGAAATCCTAAACAACAACAAAAAAAAATTCTTAAAGATATAAGTTTACTCTTAGATAAAGCTGGGATGGCGATGTGTAGTGCAAATAATAATAATAAGTATCAGTCAGTTATATGCCATGCGTCACACACGCTTAGGCGATCATGTATGTTTCGATACACGACTGAAGAGTCAGATTTTTTCACACCGTAGGTTGCCATTTCTTTTTTCAGTAGACCAGTTGCCAGCAAAGGCTATAGAAATCGGCCTGTCCTGCTATTTATCCTTAGCTAGGGGAAGAAGACGAGGATTCATACTTTTCTGAAGGGTATTACGACGTAAGTGAATGTAATAGATTTAATTAGAATTCGAACTCTGCTTTCCAATTCCTCTCCCGAAGCTGCTATCCATTACACCACCGTGTCTCCTAAGAATAAGATTAAGAACAAGAAGAATAAGAAGAGGAAAAAGAAAGAAAAACAGTGGAAATAAATAAAGAAAGAAAGAAAGAAAGAAAAAAGAAAGAAAGGAAGAGAAAAAGAAAGTTAAGAGATAGTGTAAGAAAGAAGGAAAGTTAAGTAAGAGGTAGATAGCAGAAGAAATAAATAAAGAAGAAAAAAGCATGATGTTGATAGCGTGTGAAGAGAAAAACAAAGAAAAGGTGAATGAAAAGGTTAAGTAGGAGAAAGCAGAAGAAAGAAAGTTAAAAAATTACGTAAGTAAAAAATAAAGAAAGGAAAAAAGAGAGAAGAAGAAAAATCAGAATATTAATAAAGTGTGAGAAAAAAAAAAGGATGAAAGAAAGAAAGTATTTAATAGTGACAGTACAAGAAAGAAAGAAATGATCGGCTTCAGAGGATAAAGAAAGATAGGTAAAAGGTAAGTAAGCGGTAGATAACAGAAGAAAGAAAGAAAGTTTAAAAAGTAAGTCAAAAAAAGAAAGAAAGAAAAAAAACAAAATATTAATATATAAAAAAAAGGAAAGACAGAGTACGGAGAAAGACATAAAACTTAGGCTTCAAAGTGATAGACAAGAGTATAAAGAAAGAAAAGAGTTAATAGTGTGAGTACGAAAAAAAGAGAGAAAACTTGGGGTTTGAGATAGAGAGATAGAGAAGAAAGAAAGAAAGAAAGAAAGAAAGAAAGAAAGGAGCAGAATAGAGAATAAGACAATGAAAAATAAAAAAAGAAAGAAAAATTTCAAAAAAGAAAGAAAAAAAATTAAATATAGCAAATGGTTATTATAGCTATTTCTTATAAATTTCTTTTAAATGCTTCCTTTTCTTTTCTTTTTTCTTTATTCATTCTGCTTTTATTTTCTTCTCTGTTTTCCGTAAAAACAAAGAAAGTTTTACAAGAACAGGAAATAAAAACAATAGACAAGGAAATCAGAGAGTAAGTTAAGAGAAAGACTGATTGAATGCCAATATAAGCAAGCAGTCAAGCAGAGAATAGGAAAATAATATGAACAGGTTTAAAAAGAAAATTAAAAAATGCCAAATGACCTTAAAAAAATGACGAAAGACTAGGAAATATAGAGAGTGGGTGGGAGTTAATGGAAAACTGGAAAGAGAATAAAAGTTCTTAGTAGATATGATTGTGTTATAGAATGACGCTAATGGATGTAGCTTAGAAAGAAAAGAGAAAAGAAATGGAAACGAGAGACAGAGAGAAAGTAATGAGATAGAGAGGGGGAGGAAATAATCGGTATCATGGGAGAGGAAATAAAACGTTTACACTGTAAGAAAAAAGGTGAAGGACAAAGACAGAAAGTGAAAGAAAGACAGGAAGAAAGAATAAACAAAATGGAGGAAGGATAGCGAAAGAGGAAGATAGATAGAGAGAGAGAGAGAGAAAGAAAGAGGGATAGAGAAAGATGCAATGGGGGATAGAGAGAGAGAGAGAAGTAAGAGATTTTGACGCAAGAAAAATCGAGCAAAACAGACGGGAGAACAGCAATTTAATCTTCAGTCACTTCCCTGAACCATCTTAAATTATCTGCGACGACCCAGATCAATAGATTTCTTTTTATTCCCCGCGGAATCGGCCGTAATAGACGGATATGTGATTGGGCGTCTTCTCTACTGATCAATAATAACACATTCATTGTTTTTGAAGCAGAGGCGAAATAATTAAAATGTTGCACACTCTGGGTATCCAGGCCGATTCCCAGGGGCAATGAGTTTGGAATCGTCAAGATGGCGGAGGTTGAGTTTTGTTGATGATAGAAAAAAAAATACAGTAAGAGAAGAGAATATCGAAGTAGGAGAAAAAAAAAAGATGAGAAAGAACAGGGAGATGAGGAGAACCGATTCGCAGTAAAATGAGGAGATGTCTAAGAGGAACAATAGAATTAAAATGGGAGAAAGAAATATGGGGCGTTAAATTAAAAGAAAAAGAGAAAAAGGTGAAGAAGAGATGCAAAAAATAGTAGGAAAAGGAAGACGTACAAAATGAGTTTAAAAGAATGGGAATTAAAAAGTTGGAAAATAACAATAGGATGAAATCATGACAAGAATAACATTAGCATAATAGGCAGGAATATGTGAAAATAAAGAACTTTTTTTTTTTTAAATCATTTCTCCCCAGAAAATAATAAAATCACTAAAAGGCAACGTCATAGATAAGAGGATAAACAACATCCGTATCCTGGGTAAGACGATAAACTACGTCCAGCAGTAAGGCCTCTGATCAGGATGTTTTAAGGAACGTGGAACCACCTCTTAATAGCTGGTGTTCCCACGTCCACCCTGGCTCGGGGTTGTAGAACATGCTACGGTCCCAGCTATAGGCAAATAGTTAACCCCTAAACTGGGGTCAAAATACAAAAGTATAAAAATAGGTTTTAATACTAGCAATAATATTTTAAGGAAAAAAATATTACCAGCAATACATTATCACCAACTATACATTTTTGAAGAAAATAAATATTACGAGCAATACATCTATAAGGAAAAACATATTACTAGACTTAAGTTTTGAGAAAAAAAAAATATTACCAGCATAAATATCTCCTTCACATTAAATAACTCATTAAGAAGGAAGGTGTTACGCAGTGCGAAAATATATGAGAAAAGTAAGACATTATTAAGCAGAGAACAATAAAAAAAAGTAATTAAGAATGCATAAGATAACGATTGAAAAATGCGTTACGATTTTTGAAGACTAAACTTGACTGGAAAGCAAAAAGAGGCGTGAACTGTTACGCTGTTAACTTACGGTTACGTCTAGCAATTTCAACGGTAAAATAATGAGACCTAATCGCCAATCAAGTACTGTGCATGAATTTGAAATTCAAGGTAAATTCAGGACAATTAACATAAAATGTTTTTTTTTTTATAAAAAAAGCAGAAGAAAGCTAATTCATGGCTGCAGGAAAATGACAGATGCCGATATGACAGAAAAAGTTCAGCAATTTGTCACGGATCTCTGAATACAAAATAGTTTAAGTCGTGGTGTGGCTGACAATATAGGAGGGGAAGATTTGGATAGGAAGAAGGGAAAGGAAAACATGAACAGATGAATGCTAAATAAAAAAGGGAGAGAAAAAACAGATGGCGAATATATGAGCAAGAAAAAAGTAGGAGAACCAGGGGAGGGATTTGAAAATCAAGGAAAGAGAAACATTGAAGGAAAACGAGAAAGACAAAAATAATCAGAAAAGAAAGTTGAAAAAGCGGGAAAATGAAAACGAGACAGTGATCGAAAACTAAATGGAAGGATAGAAAACAAATAACTCGTGTGATGACAACCATAGTTATCTCCCCTTCGAATGACTCGATTTTAAAAGAAATATCTATCTATCTATCTATCTATCTATCTATCTATCTATCTATCTATCTATCTATCTATCTATCTATCTCAGACTGATCATTATCTATCAATCTATCTATCTATCTATCTATCTATCTATCTATCTATCTATCTATCCCAGACTGATCATTATCTATCTATCTATCTATCTATCTATCTATCTATCTATCTATCTATCTCAGACTGATCATTATCTATCTATCTATCTATCTATCTATCTATCTATCTATCTATCTATCTATCTATCTATCTATCTCAGACTGATCATTATCTATCTATCTATCTATCTATCTATCTATCTATCTATCTATCTATCTCAGACTGATCGTTATGTATGTATGTATGTATGTATGTATGTATCTATCTATCTATCTATCTATCTATCTATCTATCTATCTATCTCAGACTGATCGTTATGTATGTATGTATATATGTATGTATCTATCTATCTATCTATCTATCTATCTCAGACTGATTATTATCTATCTATCTATCTATCTATCTATCTATCTATCTATCTATCGATCTATCTCAGACTGATCATTATCTATCAATCCATCTATCTATGGATCTATCTATCTATATATGTATCTATCTCAGACTGATTATTATCTATCAATCTATCTATCTATTCCTCTCTCTCTCTCTCTCTCTCTATATATATATATATATATATATATATATATATATATATATATAAAGTATGTGGCGCAGTTCAATTTATATTACAATGAATCATTCATACAATAATTAAATTAGTAAAGTTTATGATATAAAATGGCGAAATTCCTTCCCTAACAAAATTTTAAAGATACATTAACCCACTAATCACTCGATGAATTTTATAATCCTTTTTTTTTTTTGTAAAATTATAAAATGTATTAGGTCTTCCTTAAATACGCAAGAAATTTCGACTGTACATTCAGTCATCTTCAGACATGGAAATTATTTTGCTTTTGGTAAAATTCAGATAGCATCCTAGACGAAAAAATATAATGCGAATCGAAATATGTTTTTTTTTTAATGTGTTATTGATAAGGCATACAAACTTGCGAAACGTGCAGTCGCAACGCTAAGGTTGATTATTTTTGAAAATTTAAGTGAGTGCGTTTTTTACTAATATGGCAAACACACTCAATCTATCTATCTATCTATCTCAGACTGATCATTATCTATCTATCTATCTATCTATCTAAGACTGATCATTATCTATCTATCTATCTATCTCAGACTGATCATTATCTATCTATCTATCTATCTATCTATCTATCTATCTATCTATCTCAGACTGATCATTATCTATCTATCTATCTATCTATCTCAGACTGATCATTATCTATCTATCTATCTATCTATCTATCTATCTATCTATCTATTTATCTATCTATCTATCTCAGACTGATCATTATCTATCTATCTATCTATCTATCTATCTATTTATCTATCTATCTATCTCAGACTGATCATTATCTATCTATCTATCTATCTATCTATCTATCTATCTATCTATCTTTGTCTGTTTACATATATATCAGTCGATTTATTATCTCTCTATGTATCTCACTGTATATTTCTCTCCGTATATACTCGTCTGTGTGTTGAAGTTCAGGAAATAATTTAATATCGCAATGATCATTTCTTAATTTGATATTTTTGTCAAAGAATATAATTCACCTTTATATGCATGAAAACAACTTTGATGGAACTCGATTTTGAAAACAAATTTTAACTACATGCACTCGGTGGCTAGTGATACGCTAATTTTGAAAAATAAATCCGTTTAATGGAAGGAAAACGAGCCAATCATTTAA